AAAGTAGTTGCAAGGCGACATCAGTGTGTGCTTCGAAATCTAGAAAGATATTCATGTCGCAATGTAATTCGAGTGGTTGACTATCTTTATTATTTTCTTAATCATTTAGGCTATAAGAAAAGTAAATATTTGTGCTTCTCAAGGAGCTTAATTTTTGGAAATAATCTCTCTCACAATTCATACTCAAATCCTTCCTTTAAGTTCAGACCTATTTAGAGTCTTAGTTCTGTAAAACTTTTGCCTCCAAAGGCGAGGGGAACACCTTTTGTTTCTGACCGAGTAGCATGGTTTAGTTGGCAGGTGGCCATGTAAGGGCTTAATGACAATGAGGACGGCATGGCGGATTAAGGTGGAACAGTGTCGCCCCCTCCCTTCCACTCTATCTGTGTTGGCATCGCACGTTTTCCCATCCACACTTTTTGCAGCGTCAAGAACCAGGTCTTGAGTTGGGTAGTTAACTCGTAGGGATGGAAATGTGTTTTCCTTCAGCTGCTTCCAAAGGGGCTGTTTTTGATCCATCAAAACTGTAATTATTGCGACTTTGACAAGCGGAAATGCTATTTGCTGTTCACCACGCATTCACCTGCACATAGGACTGAACCATTTTTCAACAGCTGAATTTTTATGAGCCTTTTTATGACTTTGAGATATGGAAGCTCTTTCCTGTTACAGGTAAACGAGCCATTAAACTATCGTTTCCTCTCGTAATTTATTAACGCATTTGGGTGGGATCCACGAGCTCAGTACTCATCATGGCTCCGTCCTTCATATCATTACGACCAAGGGACTGCATTACCTTCATTAAATACTACAGAAATCCGTGCCTGTCATTGCTGACCTGAAGTTAGTTACGTCTACAGCAATACACAATTACCTTTGCTGTTGAATCAGATTTGCTCTTTTTTCAGAACTTATAAGTTGTGCTAGAAAGTGTTCCTTGGGGAGGAGGAATCCTCTGCATTTGCTACTAACTTGAGTCGGCATTTTGTGTAACATTTTCAATGTTAAAAACGGCCTTATAGCTGTATTATTTCCCCTTCTGAGTTATCTTTCAGACCGGTTGTAGGTATTAGGCACTTTTTGGGGAAGGAATGCGAACATTTACTGGTACCAATAGGAGGAATGGGAGACAAGGCTTGGATCTAGTCCCAAGTTGCTTATTGCCTTTATAGCTGTTTGACGTGCAAATTGTAAGAGATTATTTACATTCTCTCCAGTGTTACACCTCTCAAGTCAGTAAAGCTTTTCCCATCTTTCTCTTGCATTATCACTGAGTTTTTGTTTTTTTTGCTCACGTTTTGTCTCTAAGCTACTATTCAAGTCTAAGATGATGATGATGATGATGATGGAAAATTCCGATACTTTTGCCAGCTTTCGCAATTATCAGGCATTTTTTCTGCATCACTTCACAACGTTGGCACATTGTATGGGTTTAATGAAACACTAACCATTCATTGAGACAGAGGTTGAATGCATGTCGGACTATTTCTGCTAACAAAAATTCATTTATTGTTAAACGGAGTTTCAGCTCACCTTTGCTTATGTCTTATCATTCGTAGCTTAAGTCCTTCGCTTATTTCCAACTAGGTAGCAAAGAAGAAGAAGAAGAAGGTGGAAAAAGGAAAGAAGGAGAGCGCAACAGCAGGTCCGACACGACA